CAGCCTTGATATTTGTTCGATATTTTTTTAAAACGATTTATAAATCAATAAAAATCTTAATCAAGTATCTTTTATTTCAAATATTTTTTACCCCGGGTTAAATTTTTTTCACGGGGAACCTGTTCCCCGGGGTAAAAAATTATTACCTCGGGGTGGACACTCTAGTTATTACATCATCTAGGTAATTAGTTGTCTGCTATCAGCCTAACTACTCAAGCCATTTGTGCATCTTTGAAATAATTTTTTGACAATTTTTTTTTACTTTAGACATTTTAACGTACTACCTTTTCCTAAACATGAGCAAAAGACTTAGTGAAGATGAAAGTGAAGTTGTAGGGAAAACTCAAAAAGTTGTTTCTTTAGAAGAAAAAATATAAATCATACGAAAAAGTGAAGATGGTGTCTCGAAATCAAAAATAGGCCTAGAGCACAAACTAGGTGATTCAACAGTAAGAGCAATTTTAGGTAAAACTGATGAATACAAAATGAAAGGTAAAGCTGCTTCAAACTTATCATGTGTGCATACCACTCGAAATCAAAATGTTATCATGATTGAATTAGAAAGATTGCTAACTATCTGGGTAGAGGACTGTAACCAGAAAAGAATTCCTTTAAGCACTGATCTCATAAAAGAAAAAGCATTAAGTCTCTTTTCAATCTTAAAAGAAGAAAAGTTCAAAGATGAGACAAAGGAGTTCCATGCTAGTGCTGGATGGTTTGAGAAGTTCAAGAAAAGAACTAGCCTGCACAATGTAAGAATTACAGGGGAAGCAGCTAGTGCAGATAAGGAAGCTGCTGATGAATATCCTGAAGTTCTGAAGAAAATTGTGGAAGAAGGAGGGTATTCGGTTGAACAAATTTTTAACATCGACGAGATGGGGTTATTTTGGAAAAGGATGGGTTCCAAAATTTTTCTGGCCAAATCTAAGAGTTCCCAGTCAGGATATAAAGCTGCAAAGGATAGACTAACCTTTTTATTTGTCGGCAATGCTAAAGGAAATTTGAAATTAAAGCCTAT